TTCTGTGGGCCGCCGCTGGGCCTGAATGTCTCTGCCGGCTGCCGCTGGGTCTGAATATCCCTGTCGGCTGCCGCCGCTGGGCCCGTCTACCTCCACCGGCCCCCGCCGCAGGCCTACCTGCGTCTGCTTGTCTCTGCCGCCGGGCCTGTCTACCTCTGTGGGCCGCCGCTGGGACTCGTTGTTTTTGTTTTTCGAGACAGGGTTTCTCTGCATAGTTTTGCGCCTTTCCTGGAGCTCACTTGGTAGCCCAGGCTAGCCTCGAACTCACAGCGATCCGCCTGGCTCTGCCTCCCGAGTGCTGGGATTAAAGGCGTGCGCCACCACCGCCCGGCCAGGACTTTTTCTTTTATAGCTGAGTGATTCCATTGTATGTACATGCCTGTGCATACAGTGTGATAAATAGTAACCACATATATGTAGATGCTACATGCAACTACCATGTATGCATGTAAGGAATTTGAACATCTGCAGATTTTGCTATTCATGGTCTGCCTTCTGAGCAGTACTCTGAGGATACTGAGACATGTACACAAGTTATGTGCATGTGTAATGTTTTCTTCAGGAGACAGTACTTCCTGTTTGGTTTTTAGATATGGTCTTCCTGGGGTTTGCCTCAGATTTGCTGTGTATTCTGTGCCCTCTTGTCTAGGAATGTTTGTTTCTCAGTAATCTTCACTGAGGATGTAACATTAAAATGCAGACTATATGTCTGGTGGTTATATATAAAAAAGGAACTATGTAATAGACTCTAAAAGCAAAATTAATATTTTCCCATTTTTCTCCAGAATTTCTACAGACAGTTCAAGGAAATTGCTGCTGTAATGGAAACTGTGTGAGAACTGACTTATGATTCTAAAGTAATGGACTCTACTTTTCAAAAAAGAACTGCATATGGATCAAAGGATATTTATACACGAAAACTGCACTTCTAGGGCTGGAGAGATGACTCAGAGGTTAAGAGAAATGGTTGCTTTGCCAGAGGATCTAGGTTTAATTCCCGGTACCCACATGGCAGCTCACAACTGTCTGTAACTCCAGTATCAGGGGACCCTTCACCCTCCCACAGACATCTGTGCAGGTATAATTTTTATACCAATGGTATAAAATAAAAAAATTAAAGAATTTCACTTTCTAATTTTTTCCCAATTGTTAAAAAAAATCTGTTAAATTCAGATTATTTTAGTGGTGACCAAAGCTTTGCCTTTTTAATGAGCTAAAAGTGTCTGTGTTGAATACTAATGTGTGTATATGTAATTATATCTTTTTTTTGTAATTATATCTTAACAAATGAGTAAATACTATTCTTAAATGCAGCACAGCTTTGTATATCAGGAGAAAAATTTCAAATCTTACTGATACAGATCTAACTTTATGAATAAAATCTTGTCTGGAACTTATATGAAGTTAGGAAAGTTGTCATTGTTTTAAGCTGCTTTAAAAATTCAGTTTTATAATATTTTCTTTGAAATAATTAAAGGAATTACTTGAAAGAACTAGTGAGAAGAGTGAGATTTCATTCACACATTTGTAATCAGGTTAAGGTAAACCAGTCCTTGTATTAGCTTAGCATTCCACTGTTTCTGCTGCTGCTATTTGTAGACAATTCATCACCAGTAATCTGCTATGTGCAGCATAAACCAGAGCATCCCCCAGTAGTGTCTATACCCATTTCTGCCTTCTTCCATGCCTACTGTGTTGTGGTGGTCTGAATGAGAATGGTCCCCAGAGGCTCATATATTTGAATACTTGGTCTCCAGTTAGTGGAACTGTTTGGGAAGAATTAGGAGGTGTGTCACTGAGGGTGGACTTTGAGAATTTCAAAAGCCCATGCCAGGTCCAGTGACTGCCTACACATCTACAGATCAAGATATAAGCTCCAGCCCCTGATACCCTGTTTGCAAAGCTATTATTACCCTCATACTATATAGAAATTCCAACCCAGGAATATGCCTTCAGAAATAAGAGAAGGTACTTCACAAATTGCTTTAGTAGACCCATTGGGAGATCGTATTTCCCAGCCTCTTTTGCAGTTGGGACTCCAGAGCCATATGACTGGGTGGAAGCCAGCAGGATCTGACTAGAAACATCCTAAATATATTGAGACTTGGTTATAAATCACGCCTTAGCATTTTCCCAGCTCTCCCGTCTTTAGTGCTGAAATGAGGAACTCAGAAAGAACCAAAGGATGGACCCTACATCACTAGAGGCACTTCCTCCAAGTAGTAATAGCCTGACTTGCCTAAATAAAAGTCTCATAGTGTGAGAAAAAAACAAACATTGGGGGGCTGGAGAGATGGCTCAGGGGTTAAGAGCACTGGCTACTCTTCCAGAGGTCCTGAGTTCAATTCCCAGCACCCACACGGTGGCTCACAACCATCTGTAATGAGATCTAGTTCCCCCTTCCAGCGTGCAGGCACAACACTGTATGCATAATAAATCTTTAAAAAGCCAGGCAGTGATGGTGCACACCTTTAATCCCAGCAGTCAGGAGGCAGAGGCAGGCAGGCAGGCAGATCTCTGTGAGTTCAAGGCCAGCCTGGTCTACAGAGCGAGATCCAGGACAGCTAGGGCTGTTACACATAGAAACCCTGTCTTGAAAAACCAACCCCCCCCCCCAAAAAAAAAAAGAAACTAAACAAACAAACATTGGAGGACAAGTAATTTTTCTTTTGTTACAGTGAAGGTGCATGTAGAGGATAGTGAGTACAAGAGACTGGTGGATTGCTAAAGACATCCTAGAGTTTCTAGTCAACTGAATGGGGGAAAATGAGAAAATGAGAAACTATATAGTAAATATTCTTCAAATTACCAATGATAGCCATTTACAATATGCACCTCAAATATTTAAAATTCATTTTTAAAAATCCAAGGTACTTTGCAATGATCAGCTTCATTTTCCTCTTTGGTTACTCTGAAATTACATAATAGTTGTACGACACATAGTAACATGGAGCACACATCTGAAAGATGGTTAATGAACATAAAATCAGAAAATTTGAAATTCTGCAAACCCACCTACATCAAAAAGATGTGTTTGTCAAAGGCTGCTTGACCTAGGCCTTGCTTTGTTACTTGCTCACCATCCTTGAAAACATTTCATGATATAAGTGATGCACCTTCCAAGTGTCATGCAAGCTTAGGAAAACATACAAAAGACATAAATGGCCCCCAAAGGGGATGGTAAATCAGTCTGCCCAAGGTGAAAAGTCCAGGCCCCCAGCTGTGAAATTCTTGGGAGTGGTATGCATGTGCACAGCGATGACCTGTGTCAGCCAACAGGCATGCCATAATGGAACCAGCATTTCAAGCTAATCCAATAAATTCAACCAAGAGCCAAGTGAGACAAGGTACTAGAAGGAGTGCTTTCCACATCTTAGATGCTTGGTAGTCTGACTGCAGAAATGCAGTTCAGATATGGAAGGCATTTGTGCATCTTGGCAGCCAAAGAAATACAAATTCAATCAGATGGGCAGCCCCCACAGAAGGCAGAAGGTTCTGTGAGCCTCTGGGGACGTTATTGCATCACTTGCATCCCTGAATTTGAAGTCCTTGACTTGAGAGAACCAACTGTCTTTTGAGTCTTAAAGCCCATGACCCAATAACTGCAAATAGCACATATAAAATATATTTTACTTATCCCAGTAGAGTTGCTGACAACTCAGGCAGTGACCAGGCCAAAAATGTCTATAATTAGTAAGAATTATAATTGTTTCCCAGATTAAATTTGCAATCACCCTTAAGTGAGATAGTAACCATCTTTTTTTTTTTCTGTCTCAGAAGATTTTAAAAGTGAGCACAACTATTTAGAAGAATCACTACTAGACTCCTGATAATTTTGTATTTAAATTATACATGTGTGTAGTTTTACCTGTAATTTAATAATTTGTCAGATAGAGGTTTCGCCTTCTAATCTGTGCCACATAATTGAGTAATTGATCCAGATTTGAGTATCTAAGGTGAGACTTTGCTCAGCTTCAATATGGTTATAAAAGAATTAATCCTTGGGTGGGGAAAAAAATTAGAACCAGTCACCAGGACTGTGACTCAGGACAGCAGCAATCAGGTAAAATTAAATCTCTACATGTAAAAAACTGGGGCAGTAATTAGAGCAAAGAGTTCCAGAGATTGGATGTTGGCTGTTGGGCATGCACTGTTGGTAACAAGCTCCTTTGCCGGCCAAGCCGTCTCTCTGGTCCATCACCCTACTTTTTAAATCTCTTATGTGTAGAGAAGCTGTTTAAGTACATAAAAGATTTTTGTTGATTAATTCAGATTAAATAAATGTACCACAAAACAAAGATAGAAAATTTAATTTATCAAATATTAAGTGTTTGAAGGTTTCTAAATTTGGAAACAGGACTGAACATTATAATTCTGTCTTATGATATGACTCATATAAATATAACACTTCTCCATCACATACTTATTTGTCGTAGTGGCATTGGGAGCTGTGGTGGGTCACACAACATACCCTTTTGCTCACACAGTTTTATTTGCAAATGTTCACTGCAGTGCATCATTGGTTTGGTTTAGGGCTTCTGGCTTCTGCTCCCCCATCAATACTGGACCCAGACTTCTGTCAGACAACCTGCTGTGGCCCAGAATCATTGAGATCCTGTGGCTCGGCAGGGCTGGCCCCTTCACATGCTCCAGCCACTCATAGGTGGAGTAGATATTGGGGTGTGCCAATTCAAAGCCCTGGATCTGGGCCTGGGTGGTAGCTGGGTTGGTCAGCCAGGGTCTCTGTTGGGCTTCCGCTTCCCCCAGCAAAGGGCGGGGCCAACTCTACTGTGCCCACCTGGGACCTCCACTGTCACCACCACGCAAGAGCTCAGAGCTAGGAGCGGAGTGTTCCAAGTGTGATGGAACTGGAGCTTCAACAGCTGTGACTGGTGTGAGAGAAAGTTGCGATTGATAGAGGAGTAGGTCATTGTCCAGAGGGGTCGGTGAGATTTCTTTTTTTCTTTTTTTAATTTTATTTTTTCATTTTCTAGGGGTAGTTACAAGGGTGAAGGGGGGACATGGAAGGACTGGGAAATGAGTGGGATTGGGGTGCATGATGTGAAATTCCCAAAGAATAAAATATATATATATATATATATATATATATATATATATATATATATGTTTTAAACAAAAAAGAAAAAAATGTGATATAACTTGTAAGTTGATTTTTAAAAGCTGGAGGTAGAAGTACAGATTTTGAATATGTTATATATATATATATATATATATATATATATTTTAAAATAACCTTTTTGTAAGTTTGTTTGAGGTATGTGTGTGTGTGGTGGGGGGTAACTATGTAGCCCAGGCTAGCTTCAGTTTGTTATGTAGCCCAAGTTAGGACCTAATGCACAATCCTGCCTCCGCTAGCTGAGCTCTGTGATTGTAGGCATGTGCAACACATCTGGTCCTGAGAATGGAAATTGTCCTTAAGAGGAGGAATAACCCAATGTCAGAATGACACCAGGCTCATAAACAGTTATCAGAAGAAAAAGCCAACCTATGAAAGAGAAAAGATAGTTAATGAATATACATTTTGATAGGAGTTAATACCAAAATAATAACAACAACAACAAAAATCCATCAACTCCAAAGCAAAAGAACAAATAACCCAACTAACAGTGGGCAGTTGATTTGAGACATTTCTCTAAATAAAACACAACAAGCATATAGAAATATGTTTGACGTGATTAATCCCTAGGGGAATGCAGGTCAGAACCTCGGAGACATGGCTCAGCATGTAAGAACACTGGCCATCTGGCCATTCTACCAGAGGACGTGGGTTCAATTCCCAGCACCCAGATGGCAGCTCACAACAGTCTGAAACTCCATTTCCAGAGAATCTGAAAACCTGGCATTAAGAGCACCAGGCACACACATGGTACAAAGACACACATGTAGGCAAAACAGTCATGCATGTAAAGACATACATTTTTAAAAACATTATAATGAAGTTATTTTTGTTCATCTTTTTTTTTTTTTTTTTTTGGCAGGTCATAACTTTATTGCATCCCCTTTTTAGAAGATCATTGGAGAAGAAAAAAATCACTAATTAAAAATAGACAATAGGAATTAGAATATATTTTCACATGGTGGTGATTTTGCTCTTTGATTATGCTGCCAAAGTTTTAATTTTTTTTTCTTCATTTTTTTTATTATTATTATTTTACAACACCATTCAGTTCAACATAATAGCCACAGATTCCCCTGTTCTCCCCCTCTCGCCCACCCCTCCCCCCAGCCCACCCCCCATTCCCACCTCCTCCAGATCAAGGTCTCCCCCGAGGACCGGGGTTGACCTGGTAGACTCAG